TGCATATTTTTTATGTTAATTCATTTTCATTTTGTCACCCATAATTTGGCTTTTAAAAAAGAGTTAAATTTCTTTCTCTCGTTTAATCACTGCTAAAATATATTCAAATTAAATCTCCTTAGGCTATTAAATTATCATGTTTTAAAAATGATTTAAAAAATATCACCGGCTTTCTTAATCAATTTATTTATTTGTTAAGAGCATTTTTCGGTAAATTTTTGTCATCTTATTTTTTTTGTATACGATTATCTTTATCAAATACTCTGAAAAAAAAGTAAGAGAGGCAATTAGTAAAACTGTAAGTGAGCATGTAATAAATCGCAACAAAATTAATTAATTCTTAAATTTACAACGTTAATTTTTTCTTTTTCAAACTTTCTCAACAAGCGATGACTGAATACTTTTCCAATCGAAATTCAGTTTTAGAAATATTCGTGAAAATTGGCTTTTCAATCGCTCATTTCTAATTTATCGTAATTTCTTTCAAATTTCATTTCATTTCTTCTATCTTTCGAATAAAATCTTCTCTCTTTACTGATATTTCTTATCAATTTCCATGCTTATCCATTTGTTTAACTAACGAATAAAATAGTGATATTTGTAGATTTGTTGACAGATAAATAACATGCATGACCGGAAAAGGTTATCTGTCGTTTCGTTACTGATCATAGTCTGATCAGATTTAAGTAGTAGTGGTAGTAGTAGTAGTAGTAAGAGATATAAATCTGGATTACTTATAGGACATCTGTCCAATCATCCTTGAAAACGGCCAAAATGGAAATATAATTTAATACAACCAAAGATTACGGTGATGTAATAAGCTTATTGTTAATTGTTGACTATGACATTTTATCCTACAATCCTCCTTCTTCTGTTCCGCCTCCATTCCTTTTTCTATCCAACAATTCATTTTAAAATTTGACTGAAAATTTACATTCCATCTTCTCCATATCATTTCAAATGAGATGAAGATGATTGGAATATAAAAATTTTGCTAAATCGAAGTTTGCATTTAATAGCTATTACGGTTGTCTGAAATCAAAAATTTGACAGAATTATAATTTGTAAGGGAAATATTGCTAAATGTTATATTTATAGCAAAAATTTTTCATAAAACTCGACCAAAGTCATATTTTCTTCGGGTTATAAATAATTAGTATTTATTAAAATCTGTCCAAGACTATACAGATTTAAGTATTCAAGTAAACTCGGGTATTTTATGATTATGAAAAAATTTCATATTTCATTCAAAAATTTCGATTTTATATTTCAAATTTCATACTCGATTTCATTTGCATGGAGAAATCGGTGAATACAATTCTTTCAAATATCAATTATTCGAATTTAGTGCTATTTCAGTTTCAAAAATTCGATTTTTGTTTTCAAGAATTTGAATTTTGATTCCACAAATATGAATATGATTTGCATATAGCGAATATCATCTATGCAAATAGTTCACGAATATTATTAAGACTAATTCATCTCCACTTCAGTTTATATGCAACATCACCAAATGATGATATTTAATGTTTGAATGTAGCAAAAGTAAAGTAGTATTTAAGTACCAGTAGTGTATATCGTTAAGCATTCAATTATCGCCTCTGATAATTGATTAATTAGTGAAGCTTTTGCTATGGTCCATATCATTGAGATAATAATTACTCCTTAATAGAGCTCTTATAAATCTCCGTTTTTTTTTTTAGTTAATTGCTTATCAGAAATAATCAGTAATATTTTATGAGCAATATATCCGTAGATAGTAGTACATTAATGATTAAAAATATTAATCAGTCGAATTATTTCCGAAATTATATCTTATCTATTTTTTACATTATTGTTACAATCGAAAAAAAAACATGACATGTTTGATAAATATAAATTATTCTAATTTGAAACATTTAACAATTTGAAGAAAAAATTACTTATTAATTATATTAAATTTAGCATAAACAATATCCAAATTATTTTAGACGATTTGGAACAAAATGTTCATCGTGTCAACGTTTAATTCATGCAACTGATTGGGTAAGACGAGCTCGAAATTTCGTCTATCATCTTGCATGTTTTGCATGCGATCAATGCAAACGGCAATTAAGTACAGGAGAAGAATTTGCATTGCAAGATTGTCGATTACTTTGCAAGCAACATTATATGGAATTAATTGAAGGAGAATGTGGTATAATTATTTGATTAATCATATTTCTAAATAAATAATCCAAAATTTTCTTTATTTTTGTTCTGAAAACAAAAAAAAAATTGATAAATAAAATTTTCATCAATTATTTTTATTAATTATTTTAGGACAACAAAAAACAAAAACAAAACGTGTACGAACAACATTTGCCGAAGAACAATTAGCCGTTTTACAAACACATTTTCAAATTGATAGTAATCCGGATGGTGCTGATTTAGAACGAATTGCTACAATGACTGGCTTGAGTAAACGTGTTACACAAGTTTGGTTTCAGGTAAATTATTCGATGCCATTAATTCATTTTTTTTATTGGAAGATGAATGGTAAAAGTTAATACTTCAAATTTTTTCCATACTTTTTTCTTGCCCACTGTTATCATTATCATTCCATTATTCATTAAAGATAGGAAGCTAACGATTTGATAAATTGCAGAATTCGAGAGCACGACAAAAGAAATATCAGGGTAGTAAAAAGAATCGAACTAGCCGTAATAGTAATAGTGGACGATCATCAACTGACCTATGTAGCACACCGAAAAGTCCCAGTGGTGACAGTATTGATGGAATGATCTTTCCAACATCCGTCTTAACTAGGTTTTTTTTT